CAATTTATTTTCAACATTTTTGAGGTTTATCCCCCTCGGGTGCCTCGGGAGGGCCCGTTTGGACCTTATTCGCCTTCGTTTTAACGCCTCTACTGACTTCGGACCTCCCCGTTGAAGACTTACTCGCGTTCCCCGTCAAATGATTTAGCAGAGCGGACAGTGTCTTTATTACTATACATGGGCGTGAATATATTATGCGACTTGAGTTTTTGAAAGGAGCTCCTTTTGGTCGTATTACCCTCCCCGTTTGAATCTTATTCGCGTTCCCCGCTAAATTTATAGCCGGTGCGCGGCCCTACTTTTTCACAGACGAGTCCCGGGAAAGAGCGGCGTCGCGGAAAAGGGAGTAGGTACCGTGTAAGTATCGCTATATACAGCAATAAATACATGCGTCGCGTCGTTTTTTGCTGTTTTTTTTTTAAAATTCGTTTCTTGGCCCGTTTTAGTGGTTTTACCCTGCCTGTTTGGATGTTATTGGCATTCCCCGCTAAATTTATAAGCCGCCGTCGTCAGTACTTCGCTCGAGTCGAGTTCCGCGGAGGAGATCGGGAGCGGACAGTGTTGTTATTACTTTATACGGAAATGAAAATATGCGACAAAAAGTTCGATTTTTTCATACACACTTTCATACACATAATACATAAGTCATAACACAGTGATGCACCATTATAATTATGCAATTATAATTACTAAATAATTTAAAACATCATATGACATTTAATAAATTGGTAGGTAGGTACATCATATATTATATACAGACATACAATATAACAGCAAAATATTATGATAGTAGGTACTTACGAAGATAAGTGCCAAAAAATTGTATAGTGTATTCATTTATATATACCTACGTTTAATATGATAGTATAACATTTCAATAAAATTTGTTATTCACCAATATAATTATCTATTTGTTAATTTGATTTAATTCTCATAATTAAATAAATATACATGGTAGGTATATCAGATTTGAACTGCCGTTTCGAGCACTTTTCGCTGTAGGCGGATTGTCAGTTCGGGAATCGACTTTCACCCGAGATGACTGATAGGCGATAGCTAGACACTCAAACTCAGAACCCGAATTTCCGATTTCAACACACATACGAGAACCGGACATACACGCCCGGTGCATGGTCTGCGATCCGACGTAGTCGGATTGCCTACCTGACTAGCTATACTTGCATACGAGCGACTTACACCCCCACTGCATCTGACACTCGGGAATCGACTTCCACCCGAGATGACTGATAGCTAGACACTCAAACTCAGAACCTGAATTTCCGATTTCAACACACATACGAGAACCGGACATACACACCCGGTGCATGGTCTGCGATCCGACGTAGTCGGATTGCCTACGTGACTAGCTACTTGCATACGAGCGACTTACACCCCCACTGCAACCGACACTCGGGAATCGACTTTTACCCGAGATGACTGATAGCTAGACACTCAAACTCAGAGAACCCGAATTTCCGATTTCAACACACATACGAGAACCGGACATACACGCTCGGGGTATGGTCTGCGATCCGACGTAGTCGGATTGCCTACCTGGCTCTTTGTGTTGTACGATCGACTTGAATCGCGTGACTTACGACTAGACACTCTTCCGAGTTCAAAAATTACCGCTTAACCAGTGCTGCCAACACGACAAAACACAATACCCGACGACCCCCCATTCCCGCCGCAGGCCGGATCAAAAAACCCAGCATCGCCGACAAAGATGCACCACCGCCCACACAGTCTTTCCGCCGCAGGCGGGATGACAAACGCCAAAATCTAGTATGAATATAATATGTGTATAATATAAAGCCATGGGGTTTTATTCATAGCGTATAATATAATATTGTATATATATAGGTACCACTAAATCCCACCGTTCCCGATCCTCCGTGTACCAGATAGTTTGGGTGTTTACTTTTTCGTCGGTAGCCTGCGATAATGGCTTAACGCTTGATATGCTATACGGTCCCGGAGGTGTTTTTCGCACAAGCATATTTTGTTTAAATATGTTGATTGTTATTTGATATTAGTTTGAGCCTAATTAATATTGATAACAGTTGAAATTTGAATAGATTATTCGTATTTATTTATTTTTCATATTGTATGGGGGGTGTCTTACATCCAAATAATAATAATAATAGTTATAAATATTGACAGTGATTTCCAACCAAATAATGGTTATTATTGCTTCTGTTAAAATGTACATATCGTAATCGCGGGACAAATCAATTCTCTTATGAAATCGAATGAATTAAAATTTAAATCGATGACCTATACACCTATATTGTTAGAAACTTAAAACTTAAACATTTTTATTTTATTTTATAAATTCGCCTGAACTACTATAAGTCATTGGTGTCTTAATTGTTTACTTTAAATATATTTACTTACTTTATTTATTGATTTTTTTTAATGGACTATTCGAAAGTATTTTATCAAAATGTACGTTCCTCATATAGTTGTTATTTACATACTTACATATAAAAGAACAGAAGTTTTATGTTCCGTTTTCTGGCAGAGCACTTCAATATTTTCCAATCTTTTTTTCTCAAAGTTGTTCCAAGCACCTCCTTCAATGTAACCATGGCACCTTTTTTTTCCATATTGTAGCCAAATACTGGACATACATTTTGTATTGATAGTACCATGTTAAAATAAGTTTTTACTAAATTTAGTTCTATATCTGATGTATTTGTTCACAGCAATATAAAACAAAATTAGAGTTAGATTGGAAAACCTGTACATTTATACGTAAATACGTCAGAGAATATAACTCTCGATGAGGCTTACACTTAAGTTTTAAAGGACATCACAAAACTAAAAACAAGTTTACTTAGATTTAAAGTGTGTAATTATCTAATAAATATGGTGTGGGTCTCACTCTTTAACAATAATTATTCAATGAGATACAGGCGTTTGTAATTTTTGAGGGGTAGAAATCCAAAACGTACTATTGCCAAAATACTGATTTTTCAGGAGAAGAGATTTTCTGTATCTGAACATTTCCAATAAAAATAAACCATTTACAACCAGACAAATCAATTAAAAAAAAAGGTTTTTTTTAAAATTATTTATGTTTAAAATGTTTAAAATGTGTTAAATATTTTAAAGTTATATTTTTAATTTAACTTAAAACTTAATTAAAATTTTTGAAATTAAATGTTAGTATGTTTTGGAATAACATTTTTACTTCACTATATATATAGGTATACGTACAACACGGGTAAAATTAAGTTTTGGCATAACATAAAAAAAAGTAGGTTTTGGAAATAGTTCGTTTTGATATAGTACGTTTTGATCTATTTTGACTACGCCAATTAATGTATCGATATTTTTTTTTTTTATGAATCGATACCTAACTCGATTTTGTCAATTTTGGCAGGAGTACGTTTTGGATTTCCACCCTTCGATTATGAGTGTGAACGGTGGCGTATGTTTTACGTATAAAAGTGTTTAGATTAATACAACGATTTGAATCGTTAAAAATAATATTTTATTAATTTTTGTGTGTAACCTTAAGTGTTTTTTTTTTGTGTTTATGACTCTAGTGTGATTATAGTTTTGATATACTTTCTAGTTTTTTTCATAGTAGATTAAACTATTATAGTAAATTTCCTTAAAAAGTCTCGAACTCAGTAATTTTACTTAATTATAATTTATAATATGTATACAATATAGTCAATAACAAGATATATAAATTTTAAATCTCACCATCATCTTAAGCACTAAAATATATTACGATTATGAAAAAAATTCTGAAATACTATCGTATGTTATTAAAATCATTGTGTAAATCAAACTACTTTTACATGTAAAACATAGAGAGATGCTCACTCGTCGGCTGTATGAGGTCACCCGGTTATTCATCAATCATCAACTCTTATTATCTCGTCGAATAATCATTTTTTAATTTGGGATATTTAACTATTATAATTCATCAATAAACTTAAAATTAAAAAAAAAAATGTAGTGTTGTGATGTCTTTTAAATTATAAAATTAGTGAAATAATGTTTGTTATTTAATAGTGACTGCTGGTCTAGTTTGAATATAAATTTAGATAATAGATTATGTATCTCAATAATATGAATGAGTGTTATTGCAAAATCAATAAATTAAAACAATTTAAAATAATAAATGGTAAATGTCTAAAAAAAAATTGAAAATTTTTAGTAATTCATAATACATTTTCAACTATATTCTAGGACTTACCACCCCAATTCTGTGAAAATTTTTATGTTTTCTTATTTTTAAAACATGTACAGTGTATACGCCATCGCTTATTATACCATATTTCAAAAATTAGTAATCACTCCCATTAACCATTGTTAGAACATTTATATTAAATTAAGACGACTACAATTGTCTGTTATATTGTGTTTGGCACATAAATCTGCTGCACTACCCGTCCGTTTTGCGCTTTTCAAGACGGAATGACAAACGACCCTGAAACGGCCATAAAACAATACAACAAAGATTTTACGTACAACGGGAGTTCACACAAATGACCGTCGTCATCGTCTTGGTCGAGTTCGGAGACTCGCAAATATACATTATAATATTATATACTTCAGCGAACCATATAGCAGTTAAATAATACAATATAAGAGTAACTCGTGTTGCAGCGGTAATTTTATTTCTAAACTATATTTTTAGTATAATTTATAAATATACCTATAACATATCTTTTACCACTTTACGAATCGATTCAGACTGGTGTGAAATATTGAATGACACTTATGAGTTATAAGACTGCGCGCAAGGTGTAGAATTTACGTAAGTGATGGCCGGTCACTGTTTTCATACGTCGCATAAACCAAACATCGTCAGGCTGAAATAATATCACAGGGTTGAATATTAGGGGTAGGTTTGTGAAAATATAAACAACCTTTGTTGACGGGCCTTTTTAGAAATTACGAATTTGCAGCCTCCGATGCCCCCGCGCTCAGCCAGAGGCTTGAATAATATTTTATATCGTCGTATTTCCCTATTGGACATGTTTTATTACATGTTTTTTCCCCACGCTTTACTCTCGTACCTTTGTGCCGCAGAAGTAAACGAATCGTTTCATATGGGTGACCTGATGGAGGGCACTTACTGCTCGCGGATATTCAGCAACTGCGACAAGAAGAGGTGCGTGCTGCAGTCACCCAACTACCCTGGGCTGTATCCACGCAACTTGACTTGCTACTACGCGATCCGGCAACACACGATACCGTACGGCCAACAGGCGCTAATATCCATCACGCAGCCATACAGCCGCCTGGTGTCCATCAAAACGGACCGGCCGAATCCCGAAGGAGCTGACCCAAAGCCCGTCGAACGGAAGGTATATATGGATAGCCGTGCAGGTCATCTCTGCAAGGCCATGACCTAACCGTATTGTGTGTCATTGGGTTTTATCGTACCTCGAGTATATCTTAACTACTCACATAATAATATTATGATTACGACGATCACTGACAATCCATGCTATATTTAAGTCATATTTTGTTGTTGACGCTCATCGAAACAAACGAAATAGTTATAATATCAGTGCTCGAATTGGGGGGGGGGAGTGTGCAAGGGGACAGAGCTCCCCTACTATTTTAATTTTTTTTTTGCGTACATCTACTATTTTTTTTACTTGGACGGGGGACGGTACAAATTAATGTCCGAAATAATTGTTATTAAAATGTGGATTAATTATAACATCACCCTGTATTTTGCCTATATTATAGTCTATAGTTCACAGATCATAGCAGCTGACCATATACAAGTATACAATCTTAGGCACAGATACTGATGTGTGCTAGTACTATCTTAAATTGTGTTCCGAATGAAATGTTATCAGTTTCAGTTATGGTTATCATTTATCAGTGTTTTTCAATTTTTGAATTTTTTTATACTACTTGGTCTCTTTTGAACCAAAAACAATAATTATTAATTATTAATTATTATTTTATTATTTAGTATATTGAATAAACAGGTAGATTATTATTAAATTTTTTTTCTACTGTAAAAATTCAAGATGTAGATATTGTTATCAAAATATACTATACCTATTTGGAATTCAAAATGTATGTAGAGCAGGAGCTTGAGGGGTGTGGGGGGCAAGGCCCCCATGGGTCTGTGTTAAGCAATTGCGCCCTTGGAACGCAGTTTTTAAATCGTTGGATTGAGCTCCTCTACTTAATTTTTCCCAATTCGAGCACTGTATAGTATGCAATATTAATATCTTCCTATATCAATCAACCAGTTTCGTACCTATTCTATTCTGTTACACTAGAATACATTTTTTTTTGATTTTGGAGTCCAAATTGGGACGTTTTATCGTTTTACCGTGCAGTTTTTTCCTCATAACAATCAGTCGCTTTCAATTTCGTATCCCTACATAGTACGATATTCAATCGGAAATTAAAAGAACTTAAGTCATAACTCATATATTATTCTAAATCACTAGGTATGTCGTATATGTATAGCGTATTCGTTATAATAACCTATATACAATCATCATCTATATATTTAAATCTAGGTAATTCTATCAAGGACAATATATATTTTTGAAATTGTGTGGAATATAATATTATAACGTATAAGTGAGTCTTTCATTTATAAGACAACGTTTTAAAAATAAAATTAGGTTTTAACTTTAATGATTTATATTTAAATTCAAACAAAAGTGTTCAATTTCATCAACTATACTACACTTTCTGACCTTGTTATTTTCACGCTAAATCCATTTTGAGTTAATTAACTCGAGGTACAAAACAGTTTCCAGCTAAATATTGTTATAGCAATTAATGAACCTATATAAGGCTGTTTCCCGATGGAACCCTTTTAATAATAAATTACTCCGTATAAATAATTTTATGCTAAACTGTTGAAAAATTAAACTTTGTGCGCTTCGTGTGATATATAGTGTACTTTTAGCAAATTCCTCAAAAAAGGAATATTGAAACAAAATAATAGAACCGGAAGTTAATTATAGTGAACCTTACTGCATTGTATTTCAGAACTTTTTATCTGATGAGTAATGATCAATAATTGTTGATGATCTTAATAACATTTATATGAAATACCTATATCTTAAAATGTTTAATGTATTATCATTTATAACGCAAGCAAAATATAGGTATTTCAATTTTGCTATTATGTTTTTCTAATTAAAGAGAACAAATTCTATACAGGACTGGAGCAAGTGCGACAATGTACCAGATTTTGTGACCGTTTATGATGGATACACAACTAGAGATCCAATTTTGTTGAGATTCTGCGGATCCGGTGAAACTGTGCCCGTGACTACTTCTAGTGGGCCTGAACTGTTAGTTCAGTTTTCTACTTCACCATATGGCACTCTGATGTATCCGTTCGGTCCACTTCATGGATTTCAACTTCAAGTACAAGTGAGTACACATTTCAATGACTTTATATCAACTCTAATTTCTGACGAACATTATGTAGTCCTCTATGAGTACAATAATAATAATATGACGTATAATGTATTATACATAGTGGTGGTTTCATTTGTATTTTTTATTATCAAGACGCACATGCATTACGATTACTCACCTGCCTACCTACATTATATATTATATAATTATTTTTGCTATAAATATTATTCACATACCCACAATATAAACCAACCAATATAATCACAATATAATTACGATCATTGTTGATTATACTTAATATCCAAATAAAATAAAAAAACCTCTTTGAATACCAATTGTCGTTTGAAAGTTTGAAACTTATTTATTTTAAATATTCAAGCTGATTTTACCCTATTCGTGCCAACATTACTTTTAATTCACAACAATGAATAATAGGTACCTATAATAGTTAATAATATATGACGCTATAAATGCGGCAAAGTTGATACAATTGACTTGTTTATATCTGATTGAATTCTTATGAGTTTCATCTAAACTTTTTAAACAATAGAATACAAAATATATAAATCCTATATTCACATACATTGTTATAATATATTTTACGTTTCGTAACTTATTATTTATCAAGCGAATTGATAAGTTTCATACGAAGTAAATACATAGAATATCATACAAAAATATTTTAGGTACCTATAAGTGATGGTCTGGACTAGCTGCAGATATATTATTTCAAATATTTAATTTTCAAAATAATAATTGAGCAAAAATGTTGATCAATATTACGCTTAAAATAGGTACGTATTTTGTAATAATAACGAAGAATGTGATAAATATTATTTTGTTTATAAATGTAAACGGTATGTGTACTTATGAAGTATTGGATTTATAAGTTTAAGCGGAAATACACTTTCTACTCAAGAAGTTACATATATGCTATGTATTAAAATTCCTGAACAATAATGTAATTATAAAATCACTTTAGTCTTAAAGTTTAAACTTTAAAGTAAACAGAACTCATAATTAGTTTTATCGATATCTACACAACTGTGAGGCCAGTCAAGCGGCGCGTGGCAAATTTGCTAATAGTTTAATAATGATTAAATATAGGCTTGATTACACGATTATTGATAAGTACTATTCTCGAAAACCATTTAAACCATTTTTCTGTTTTATCTGTTAAGATATTATTATTACGAGTTTTTATCATTCGTTTTCCTTTTAAAGATTAAATTGCTGTTCACCGTGCATAGAAAAATCGATTTCAAACGTCAAGCCGTAGTCTGAGTAGCCTCACGAAATCGAAACAAATACGCAATTACGGTTTGGCTTGAAATATATCGAAATCGGTGAAACCGAGATAATAATTGACTCCAGTGATATTTCAGCTCTTTATTTTAATTTTGTTGAAGGTTCGTGTAGTAGTGGTGATGACTATAGCGTGCACCACGAGAATTACATTATATTACACATATATGTTTAGGTACACAACAACCTAAAACATATCCGACTATACAACTATACAAGGAATTTAACATTTACACTGTGCAAAAATTATTTCAAAGAAATTCCCTCTATTTCATATATAAAATTATTTTAATTAATTTAAAACCAACATTCTACAATACACGGCAGGAGAATAACATAGAGATCCCTTTTACCCGGTCGATTAAATCAAGCCTATGTTTTTCACAGGTAGGTCTTAAGCTGCTGAATAAAGCACCATCGCATATCATAAATAGCAAATCCTATGAACAATACTACAAAAAAAAGTTAAAATTTGGCTAAACCATAGCCCAAGCATCTGAGTCATAGTGTTCAGTGTTAATATAAAATATATGATGTGAACCTGATAAAATTTAATATATTATATAGCAACCGATTAATTAATTTTACTTTTTTTATTTTATTTTTATTATTCTTATTTTGTCTTTTAATGTTTCCATTTTTAATTTTTAATTTGTAATGTTTATTATATTTTTGTCTTTTAATGTTTCCATTTTTAATTTTAATGTTTATACTACTTTAATTACTTAGGTTTTTTAATAGTACTCCAATTTCACCAATAAGAGGTTTTTTCCACAGTGTTGGGCCATTATACTCGATATTCTTTTATTATAACTACTGTACTGTGATCATATTATGGCCAATAAATAAATAATTATTATTATTATTATATTTATTTTTACAGTGTACATACATATTATTATATCCATAATATTTTATAATAATTTTAATATTACTGGAACTGTTGGGGAGTATTAATTTTTGAAATGCATAATTGGTTTCCCTTTTTTCTTACCACCGTTGAGACTATTTTTCAGGTACCTCTTAAACATAATAATATTATAAATTTAAATAATTAGTAATAATCAGGGTTCGGATCTTATAGCATTTGCTACTTATTATAGGATAGAGATAAAAATAGCAGAGTGGGCTATAAATTTGTTTTTATGCACCAGGGACTCTTAATATGAAATTTTATTTTGCTATTTTTTGCATATTTGAAGAATTTTATAATTTTAGTGCTATTTTAAAGTTTTGATGCTATGTTTTGCTAATATTCTTAATTCAACGCTTTATTATATATTTTTCATAAATCTCATTTATATTTAATGGCAAATAGTATTCATTAATGCGAATCAATAAGAAAAATTCCCACATTTTCGTTTCATATTATTTAACATGTAATAAATCTATTTTTAAATAGCCCTCCGATGTCGAATCACAGAATATAACATATAATATAAATATATAATATAATAATAATATATTATAATACAATATAATATATTATCTTCTTATCTGTTATTGTTCCACATAATTGTAGATTCTATAATATACCGTCGACTGTCGTACGCATTTCAGCGTCAGTCGGTTCTCCGCATCGTTTGATTTCGTTTCATATTCGTTCATTACTCGATTTTGTATTATTTGTTTTTCTGTTTCAATATTAAACGTAAAATGCTGAAAGATATAACATCGAACTATTCTATGCTAAGATATTTTGTGTCGAAGTTTGGAGATGAGGTTTTTTCGATTGACGCAAGTATTCTGTTTTGCAAATTGTGCGAATGTAAGGTTAATAGTGACAAAACCTTTAACGTTACTCAAAACTTAAAAACGGATAAACATTTAAAAGCCAATAAACGGGAGTAAAATAAATTTGAAAAGAAACAGCAGTTACTTACAAATATTCCACAAAAATGTACTTTTAATATCGATCTATGCAAGACTCTTATTTCTGCAATTATACCATTAAACAAGTTATCCAATGTAAAGTTTCGACAATTTTTAGAAAAGTATACTAAAAATCATATTCCAGACGAATCAGCACTGAGAAAATTGTACGTTAATGATATTTACAAATTAGAAATTAGAACTCAAGTAGCTAATAACCGCATCTGGGTGAGTATCGATGAAACAACGGACGTTGAAGGACGCTTTATTGCTAACGTTATCATCGGTACTCTGGAGATTGAACATTCTGGATCCATATTTTTACACCACTCGGAACAATTAGAAAAAACCAATTTTTCTACCATTAGTAAAATTTTCGACAGATCTATGAGCAAATTAAGGCCAAATGGAATACAGCACGACAATGTACTATTATTTATTTTTATCAGACGCGGCACCGTATATGAAAAAAGCTGGGAAATTATCAAAAGTGTTCTACTCAAAAATGATTCATGTCACATGTGCAGCACATGGCTTACATAGAATTGCCGAAAAGGTTCGTGACCACTTTAACACTGTTGACAAAGTAATCGCTAATTGTAAAAAAGTATTTAAGAAAGCTGCACCTACTAGAGTCGAAATATATAAAATAGAGGCTCCAGGTATATTTTTACCACCAGATCCCATAATAACAAGATGGGGATCATGGATTAACGCTGCCATTTATTACTGTGAAAATTTGAACACTGTTCGCCGTGTTATTGAAAAGCTTGATGAAGATGATGCAGTGAGTATAAAAAAAAAATTAAAAAATACACAGTTAAACCCGGTCTTGAGAGCAACCTAGCTTATATAAAATCAAACTTCACAATTCTCGTAGAAGGAATAGATAAACTACAAACAAAAGGCCTTTCTTTAATAACAGTGTTAAAAATAATTGAGGATATCGAAGAATCGTTCAAATCATTACCGGGTGAAGCAGGTATAATTGTAAAAAATAAATTTGTATTTATTAAACTGTATTTGAAAATAATAAGGGCTTATCAACATTAAAAAGCATTTCCAAAATATTGTTGGGTGAAGAGGAAAATAGCGAATTAGACGGAGATCTTGAAGAATTGACTAGTTACGATATAGTATTTTTTAAGTATTCACCTATTACATCGGTTGATGTTGAACGTTCCTTTTCGACCTACAAGTCATTGTTGACTGATAACTACGGGAACTTCAAATTTGAAAATTTGGCAAAACACTTAATCATACAGTGTAACTCAGGTAAAATAAATAAAATATTATTTAATTAATAAATAATAATTACTTGAATTTTATTCTTATTTACTCAGATAACTTTGAATAGTTGCTACAAACGATGTCATAATTCAAGGTATCAAGTTAATCAGTACATACAAATTTTTTTAAACTGTAAACGGAGATTTTAATTCTTTTTATAAATTAATGATTTAATAAAGTTTTATGATAAATTGAATAAAATTTTGATTTGTATTTATTTTTATTTGTTGCTATTTTTGATGTTTATAGGTTATATTTATAGAGCATATTTTATGGTTTTTTTTGTCATATTATAGCTCATATTTTAGGATTTTTGGTGCTATAGAATCCGAACCCTTTTAATAATATATCATGTATGTAGCATTCATTGACCATATTGTGGCCTAATTCTTAACTTTATATAAATATAATAATATAATACATTTTTCCAATAACATTTCATTTAATTACTCAACATTGTATATATGCTGCTTTAGAGAGTAATAATAAACTCATATAATAATATTTGTTATTATTTATACGTCAAGTTATTTCAATAATATGAATATTGTATTATTGTCACACGGCGATTCGGTTAGACTATTCAGGTACACACACCATACACCGTCACTGTCGTGTTCATTTCCCAGTATTTTAATATTTTCAATATTTTGTGTGGTTCGTTACATATTATGTGAAAATACGTTATAAATTAGTAGGTAAGTATAATTTGAGGAACCGTGTAGGAGGTAACCCAACCTAACCTACAACAGTAAGGCGAAATATTGTAGTTTGGTATACGTAATGGACATGACGACTTAATTCAATTTTTGGTGCCTATAATTTAGATTGAAGTAATTGACAACTATGGTTTTTATTTGATGAAGAACAACTTAGTAATTTAATTAAGAACCGTATTGATTTTGATCATCAATAAACCGGGTTTATTTTAAAGCTACTATTATAAGCCAGTACCAATAGTTTGTTTTTGAAAATAAAAATAAGACACGAAGAACTGACTGCGTATGAAAACACATGATAACTTTTCCATTAGAATATTTATACAAACGGAAAAGTCAACTTATTACAAAAATCAATTTCCACTCATCGGTAGACATCCTATGCGCTGTTGGTGTACTTGTATATTTACATATTGTAGTGTGTATTCAAATTAAGGATATTTCAATAGATGTTTGACCAAGCGATAACATTTACAACACGAAATGTTTTATTTTGATTTTCGAGATAGGGTTCTTCCCGTTAGACCGTGTAGGCATATTATGAAAATACTTTACAAAAAAAAGAAAAATGGAATACAAACAAACCTATCAAGCCCAGTTCACGCTTGAATAGTAAATGATGTGGATCCAAGTAAACCAAGACAGGACTCTACATTATGTAAATACGGTTGTCGTCTTCCGAAATGCACGTATACCTATCAAAAAGGTGAATGTAAAGTTTAAAATGAGATTGTGAAATTTATCTCGACGAATAAAAAACTATTACAGAATTGAAACAATACTTTCCTCGGAGATTGCTTGTGCGGCGTGATTAATGTTGAAATTAAAAAAAAAAAATTATAACACAATTGCGTCCATTCAGAATAAATGTTTGAGTTTTTAATAACAAAGAGTTGTGGCCGTTGTAGGCAAGGAAGTAATTTCAGGTACTCCACTACAAAGTAATTTATACAACTTATCGCGACTTAAATAAACCACGTTGATTCTAGAAAACAACCTATAGGTATATTTTAATCTAATAATTAAATAATGTTTTTTTAAACTAACTATTTAATTAAGTTTGTTTAAAAATATTTCTATATTTTTAATTTTTATCTGAAACTAAATTTACTACGCACAATATTATTATACTACTTAATATTATATACATACGGGCATGGCAAAGTTTTCAAATCCTGCGTATTGTTAATTGTTATAGAGCCCAAAAAGACCATAATCCTTTGAAAATGATATTAATCTACTATTGAAGTTGAAATATAATATGTAAATTATATAAATATACTATATTAGGTATATTCTAACTTAAATGATAATACAATAAAGTACTAAGTATAATTGATTAATAATATATTTTAAAGACTCTCTAATAATATTTTCTGAAATATAATAAAAAGTAATGAAAGTACATTTTAAGAATTAATTAAATGTATATCATAAATTTCATGAATGTTTTTCATGAGGTTTTAGTTACTCAATTTTCTCAAAGTTCCATTTGTGTTAATTTTTTAATCTATAGATTGCGCTACAATAGACTTTCCCATCCTAAAAATTAGGTTACTACGAAATAAGCGGAAAAAAATATTTACAATACACATCGTTATAAAATGTATACCTCCGCTCAAAATGCATAACAATCATGACTAAAGACTAAAGGTTAGGCTAGGTTAGGTTTGAGATTGCTGATAAAAAGCTGAATTTGAAATAATTTTTTTTCGAATAAAAGTTGTGTTCTAAGGTGTTGGTGTATTTAGATGTAAAGTATCTGGGAATCGTATTTATAAAAACAGAAAAATATGTCATAAATCTATGTATACAGTTTAGATGTAACTAGATTATCCATTATGGTTCGTATAACATATCCGTAAAAGAATTAAGCCACTTGAAAATAAATGTATGATAGGTATCACTTGAATATAAAATTGAAATAATCAACAATCGGTTTCAAAGAATAAAGTTAATTAATTTTACAATAGAGGTACCTATTGGAACATTTCAATATAATATGAAACATGATCATATTGGTATTAATTATTATATTATGTATCTAGTAAACAATGAAATGTTAATCAGTGGAACAATGCGATGCATTCGTATTTCAATTACATCAAAAATGGAAATATATATTTTTAATATCTAATATAATACAAAATGTAGAATAGGTATAATATTATGTACAAACGTATAGTCAAACATTAATGTATTAATTATTTCTATCAAACAGCGTTCAATCCAAAATAATTACATATATTAATGTAGTAATCAAGTGAATATAGAGTAACAGTAGTTTAACAAGTACCTACAAAATAAAGAAGTTTTAAGAACTAAGGAAAATAAATAATTTGATGATGTCCTAAATCCTAAAAAAGATGCATTTCAAATGTTGTATGACGTAGGTATTTAAAATACAGTATTTTATAAAGAGATCAGACAATTGATTAGCATAGGTATACTATTATTTTTATCATACACTCAAACATTAATTAAAAAATGTAAAAATATACCGAAATTGGGAGAAAAAAATTGTGTAATTTTATTTCGTGTTTGGGACTTTGGTGTTTAATATACGCAATGCTTTGGTTATTTAGGTACACTTTGTGGATATCGAATCTATCAAGTACACCAAGAACAAACGGTGTGAATTCTGGATACGGAACACGGGCCGTGGTTGGTTGCATGCGCCTTACCACTCTTTGCCCGAGAACACGACGTGCTGGTATCATCTGCAAGCCACCCCGGCCGGTGTCGCGGCTGCCGGATATCCGGTGGATCGTGAATCCGGCTCCGGTCCCAGGTACAAGGTATGGGTATCCGTACTCAAGTTCTACGTGACGGGCCCTCAGACCCGGGACTGCACGACCAACCTGATGGTGTGGGACGGAAACTCTTCTTGCCATCCATTCTGGTGAGTTGAACTGTTTGGTATATTTTTATGTCATATTATTTATTCTTTCATATTATTCAAGTATCCGTTTACGACCTGCGTGCAGTTGTGTACGTACACAATAATGTAATCATATCACGCTTGCCCTTAATCTCTATTGTGATATTATATTATCAACGAGTGTTTGTGACGTGATGTACGATTGCCTATTCTTTAATAATACCATATTATGTATAATCGTTCAGTGATTCGAGAAACGCATCGTCGTCCGAGTACCAGCACAACAACAGCACGCTGTTGGCCAACTACTGTCCCGGACAAACGCCAAGGTCTTGCGATCATTTCCTGTTGACCCGGCAACAGCGTCCGTGCACGCTATCCGAGAGTTTCCTGTCCACGTCCCGGTCGCTCACCGTCCAGTTGAACATACAACACGCCACTGCTCTCAGGTAGGACGTTTATCCTTTATACGATAAACACATATATTATAATGAACACGCGTATATAAATATATAAAGTGAACACGCTACGTTTTTATCGATGGATTGATGAATGTCTTAGACCATTTGCTTTTGTAATAAAATGCCTGCGTACATTCGGTTGGCGGTGGTGGTAGTAGTGGGGGTGGTGGTGGTGGTAGTGGTGGTGGCGGTGGTGGTGGTAGTAGTAGCAATGGTTATAGTGTTGTACAGTATGGAGTAGAAGGGGCTAATGACCGTTTTGACGCCATCATTATTTTCCACAGACCGGTATCGTTTAAAGCTCTGTACGAATTCGTCGACCTGCACCAGGACGGAAGCTCGTGGCCCGAAACCGGAAGTATGTGCTCCAGGATTTTCAGAAGACCCACGCACTCGCCTTCTAGTACAATAGCCATCCGTTCACCGAAAAACGTATTCTTTTACGGAAGAGGAGGCAATAAAAATTTAAGGTAAACTTAATCCTTAATATTACATTCACGCGTACTATAAATTATATACCTGTGTAGAGGGTAGACCGGCTATACCATATATATGCTCATATACGAATAGATGTATATAATATACTTAGGTGCGCAATTGTATTCAATAACGCCACCCTACGCATGAACAATACCTAAAATATATCATTGTTAGTCTTATATCGTCCAAGTCCAAACAATACGAATAGTATTCCCCGTTTACACTATCTGAAACTCGAAAATTTATTGGTTCGTCTGACAAGAGGTTTTATTGTTCGAGTTTCAACTCTAGATATTTTTATCACTGTTACCATCCCGCACACCCACACATTTGGAATATTTATCGGATATATTATGTATTATATTTAGACTGTTTCATGACCATAAACAAATGTCCAAACATGAACAATAATCATTTAATATAATATATTTTATTTTAAACACATCACTTAAATAAATGTACGTTTTCTCTATTCTTGTTTGAACAACTGTAATCGTATATTCATATTGTTTGAATTCATGCTAATGTATTTTAACTTACAGTCGCAAATATTTATTTTGCATTCCATTAACGTTCAAAAATTCCCGGTAAGTTGTCTTTAAACGGGGTTAAGCTGGAATAATAAATAACGCTTGTTACTCTCCAATTTTATTTTTATCTACATTTTATATCATATAATAGATCCATTATATTTTGCATATAAAAAATTGTGCATTTTCAAATCACAAATTATTCTGCCTAATAAATTTCAAACAGTTAAAAACAATCAGTTCAAAAATTACAAAAATGCCATCGACGCAAATACAAACACATCGACATTGTAACCGATGTGGGTCATTGTTTGTAACTTTTTTTTTTTAATGTCGTTTTAAAGTTGCGTATTCAGACTGGAAGGACAGCCCGGCGATGTGGCTAAGGTGACAATACTTACGATCGGCTCAGGAGATCGGAGTTGTTATAGCCGTTTGAACAAAGACCGAGGTACTTTACAGTGCGTGGGTGACATAGGATCGTCTCTGAGTGTTTTGGACGAGGTAAACGGCCCGAAGACCATGCTGGTGCCCAGGCACTGTTTGTGTTCGACCAACGCGTCCTTGTTGCCATACACGTTCGTCACGTTGGGCTCGAAAGCTTCGATGGTGTGGGACGTGTTCAATATGAACTCCACCGAAGACTTCCGACTTCACTACTTCGAGGCCACAGTGCAGTTCGTCAGGAGAGAGGTGGTGCTGAAACGATGCGAGGTGAAGAGCAACTTGCTGACCGGGCCTGGCGGTCATTTTACGTTCCACTCTCATCACAACGTAAGTATACCTGCAGTCTAATGATGCACCACTGAAGTATTGCACTCTAAAATCTTTTTTATCATATTAATATACATCATAATATTTTATCCTTCGCTTCGTATCTACATACCTACATTATTGTATTTTCGCGAGTACTCTAGCGTCGTCGACTTGTATAATATATGACACGAATGGATTCGGTTGTTGATGACTCAGCTTTGCAGTTTTCGCGGCAAAACTACTACAATAATAATATTATAATTATACCGTTTCGTTTCAGACCACGTGCGAATCCCACTTCGTCATACTCACCCAGCAAAAGTACACCAACAGTTATCTGTACGCCAAGTTGCCCGGATTGGCGATGCCGGACTCGTCGCACGCGGTGCCCAACAACACCCAACACGTGCACTGCCCGACCAACAATCGGTTCATAGTACACGCCGGTGACACGGTCCACACGGTCGTCTGTCCAGACCCGTACTACACCGTAGAGGTTTGTCACCTAAATATTTCTATATTTAATATCATATTATTATTATAAAATATCTACAGCGGATAATCCTGCACAGTATACTCATCGCGGTATTATAATAACAATAATTATAATAAAAAAAAATATGACACGTAGGATGCTGCAGTGGGTTCTGACGAGTACATTTTGACGTGAGTTCTTGAACCGAGCATACGAGTATTAGAGTCAAAGTATATTTTATTTACGGAAAAAGAAGATATTTCAATTTAATTGTTACAAACGATTAAGTTAGTTCAATTGCATCAGTTAAATGGCCCGTTTCATTATTTACATTACTCCCAACGGGAATATTGACCTTGTGTCGAAAATTTCATTTTACGGTTATTAGATATTAACGTGGTAACGACAAATGCGCGTGGTACACAACCAAGGCAAAGTTTCCACGAGACCACGATTACTAATAAAGTAAAACTATGTAAGTATTATTATTATCACGAAATGTAATCTAGCAACAATTAATCGTTCCATCTGATCTAAGACAGTGCGTGATCACAGCGCTCTTTAACTCACCGTGACCCACTGCCTCAGTGCCACACCCTATAGCATAATATCATCATCAAAGTCCGAGAAAACCGAAAGTTCATTATCACCGCCTATGTATTGTGTGTGTGGCAGGTGTTTTCGGATGGATGGCACACCAGAGACGTCATGTCGAATTCTTCTCGAGACATCGTCATCGAGTTCATTCCAATCGACCCGGGCTCGTATACGGTGTCTTGGATACAACTCTCGTCCAGGTATGGTTCATTTTCGTATCCTTTAAACCGAAACCAATTACGGGCAGTAGTTAAGTATACTTAATCTTCGTTGTCGTTAAACAGAAGCTATAAGACCTTAACATAATTTCGTGTTTGCCGCAAAATACGGATTCTTGACTTAAGACCCACGTTAAACTATAAATTAATATCATAATAAATTACAACTAACGACTTATTAATATTGTATTATACATTATGCGTTTACCTCGGACTATGGTACAAAAACCAACACAAGGTAATAGTGAAACGGATGTTATTTTAACAAGTGTATTATATTTCATACATATTTTTTAAGAGAAAATTAATTTGACGGGAAAATTATTTTGACACGTGTACATAAACTATAGATATACAATACCTAGCCGTTCAAAAACACTGTTTCGGAAAAATAACTCTTTTCCTAAAATTGTTTCGCCATTTAATTTTCCTGTGCGTTTTTAATAATATTTAGATAATAATTCGGTTGAAAGAAAATATAGTTTACAGAAAATAATAACCTAACCTACTCGATTGATGTGGTGAAATATGCCTCACGCTGGTTGTGTAACGTATCAAAATACCTCATGAATTACTAACTAACTCTAATTGGGACCTAGGGACTCGTTTGCCTAGGTCATTAAAAAATTATTCTGGCAAGCACTATACCTCTCAAGGGTACATAATAAATAATATACAGTGTTTTCGCATTATAACATAAACGCGGCTTGTAAAAAATAATAATAAATAAATCTCGGTTGAACTATCAAAAATATTTCGCTTGTTACTATAATGTTGTTACTGGACAACAAATTTGTCGTTATATTATAAAATATTACGAGATCACAAAGAGTTTATAAATAATATACGGTCAAGTTAGTATACACCTAAATATGGTTACCTGATAAACGGTAGTATACGCGTCACGTATTTCATCTTTATCTGTAATTTTACGCTCAGCGCATATATCGATTTCGATAGAAGTGCAAAATATATATTATATTGTGTCTACAATAATATACAGCATAGGGTTTAGAGAGACTTAGTCGACCTCAAAAATGTAAAAAAATAAATCTACTATTTGTGCAGTGCAATTGACTCTTGCGTTATGGATATAACAAAGTCTGCAGTATACCCTTATATGATACTATTCGTATCGTATTTACAATTTTTTTTCTCTTAAAAATGTAGTTTTATTTTAACCGTAAAATAAAATACGACAATAAAATTCGAAACAGTATGTTTAAATAACGGCATGATCCCTGCTACAAACACGACTGCGACGAACTAGTAATGGAAAATCGGGAGTAAAATTACAAACATTATATCTAGGCCCCTCCTCTTAGCTCTTAGGCTTCATTAGATGTTTTGATTCTGAGCAAGTTATGAGCATTTTAAAATTGTTTTGTATATTTTTTAATGCGTTATTAGAGCATTTAATATTATTAAGCTATTGCTAATATTCTAAAGAGTAAAGTGTTGAAAAATAAAAATAAAATGTCGTAAAAACTTAAAAATTCTCAAAAATAAAAAAAGTTCTAATAATGCAAAACAAAAATTTAATTTTTTATTCCTTGATATATGAAACAAACGTTGTACTTGGAAAGCATTATTTTAGGATTTTTTTTTAAAAAAATGCAATTTTCATTGGAATCCGTTCCATACTATAATAACATACTTCAAAATTAAAATATCAAACAAATCCTACGTGAACCTTTAAATCTGATGATTGACCAATTCACTCCAATAAATAACAAAGTAAAATATTTTAAATTAAACGTATGATTGCATTTAGTAATACGGAGATACTAACACATACGTGTTTATAATAAAATATGTGCCTTCTTATTTTTGCCATGCGATAACGTGGCCGACGGTGATATTGACCCCCATAGCACAGCCCCAGAGCACAGCCCCATAGTTTATAATAAATACAAATTATTTCATATATTATAATATATTTAGGTATACAATGTATATGACATAAAATTACCTAGGTACTCCTCGTATTCCCTACTTTTTCACCTAATGCAGTATAAACAAAGTTAAAAAAGTGAGCTGTGCACCTCTATATTATTATTATTATATTATAATATGCAAAATAATTTCGTTTCCTCCCGCCTTTTGGACTTGTCCTCAAGAACCGCCATACTCAGTTTGTATCGTATATCGTTCAACCGTTTTGTGTTTTTTTTTTTTTAAAACGAAAATAGGATCCGAGCAGACGGGCCGTACTGCCACAGCCAGTGCCCTGAGCTGGACGCGTGCATCAACGAGTCGTTGTGGTGCGATGGCGTGGAACACTGTCCTTCCGGTTACGACGAGTCGTTCGGGTACTGTATGCACCTGCTCTATACGCACCTAGTGTACAGCATCGCCCTGACCGTGGCCATCATCATCGTGGCCGTGTCGTCGGGACTCACCATCCTGTGGTTCCGGCGGTTCCGCTCGGCGTCGTCCGCGGTGGCCGGATGCCGAAGCCCGTCCTCCAAGTCCGCGGAGACGGAGGCAGTCGTGTCGGCGCGCGACGTGGTTTACTGACATAAGGTCAACGACGTAGTGCACTACGTCGAATACGATCGCGTCACCACCGTCTGATCGGCAGCTGGCGATCGATTTAAACGAGAAATCACCGTCGTCGTCGTCATCGTCATCATCATCATCATCATCACTACGCGCGTGCCTCTTATTATACATTACCATAATGTAGTTTCCCTAACTTATACCATTGCCGTGGCGTTATGCCCGATCTACACGTGGCCAGTACTCCATCCTAGGGTATCAAGATACTGCTACCTATCTATAGCTTTGTTGTATAAAGCTAGTGACCTACTGAATAATCTACTGACTAGTAAGCTATACAGGCATAATATAGCGTGGTTTATTATAGGGTGGAGTGTTTGATTTTTTTGGCTATAGTGGCGCTCCCCTCTTCCCCCGCCACCGGACTGGCTTGAAATTCTTAACATCGTGTAAATCGGTCTAGCTTGTGCCAAGCCAGGATAATAGTAAGCCAGGATAATCACCGGAACTACTATTACCATCATTCTAGCCTAACTTGAAATACTAGCCTCGTGTAGACCGAGCATTAAGGAGAGACATTTATTTTATTTTTTTATGCATTTTGAGGGGAAAAAATCTGATCCGAAAACGTCCATTGTGGGCACAGCACGTTTACTATACACGTGTATAAATTTTAGGAAGTGTGGTGTGCAGTGGTACAGCGTTTTCGCTGTTAAAGAGTTGGTGATTTACACGGCCATCGAATACCGTAATCGTAGACCGAAACGCCGTCGACGTATCGAATATTTTTGGGGAAAAAAAAACATTATGTCACGCGTCGTGCGTAAAAGACTTTTGGTTTGAGGGCGTGCGACTGATGTTGTACGTATATATTCTTTATTATTATTATTTTCTCTCTCTCACTCTCTCTTTCTTTTTCGTCCAAATCACATGGTTCACAGAATTCGGGCAACGGAGTGCCAACGCCTCCTCATGCTGCACCCGTCCCACCCCACCCGAAGCCAATATCAGCCCTGACCAGCGGGGCGTGAAATCGACGTTATTGCTCGGTCCAAACATATATTATCTGACCCGACCTAGTTAATTCTTTTTACGCCACAGACACCGCCACCACCGCCGCCGTTCGATGGTCGCCAAAATTCGGTCGTAATTTTCTGACTTGTAAAAACAAAATATCCGAACCGTGCAATATCGTTGGTTATTACGTACACCACTCGCTCTCTTCAGACGGTGGGTAAGAGGGTTTGGGGTGAGGGTGTAAATCTCTATACGGTGGCAGATTTGTTTCACTCTTTCGCACGAAAGTCCAATATTATCACACAAACATAATATGCGGACGTACGTGGGTAAGCTAATATAACGCGATACGCACATACCGGATACGTTAAAGTTTAATACATTATATCTATGAAGGTACAATTTCCGCTCGTTTTACTACTTCCAAGGTGTATACCTACGCGTACCTCAGAGTAATAATAATTAAGTACATTATTATATACTGAGTGATTTCTTTCACCACCATACAGTCATTTTCTCGGAGAATATTTTGTTTTAAATTTTTTCTTATAGTTTTATATATAATATTATAATATCTGTTAAATCTTTTAATATTTTAAACTACAATATATTATGTACATTTTAAACATCATATTCAACCCAACCAAAATATTTTTTCGATTATTATAAAAATCTAACTTCAAACCAGTCGAACAGAAATATTACTATAAATTATAATAGAATTTTATTTGCAGATGAGCAGAATGGAGTTCGATACCCTGCAAAATGTTGGTGCACTTCTCCACTCGTATAATCTTTAAATAGGTACTCTAATAAGTATTTTAAGTTTTGTTCTAGGTTCGAAGTTTGATTTGTATAATATGTATAAACACATTTTGCTTCGGAGTATGAGGTTAAAATGCACGGGGTAATATTTACGAAATTAAAAAAATGATAATGATTATACTTACATTTACATAGACAGTGTTGTAACGACTTCAAATTATCAATGTAAAATAATAATTTCAAAAACACGCACGTTTACCGAATGACTGCCATTTTTTTGATTAAAAAAATAATTACCTATATAATATTATATGATATATATATATTGTGTATATTAATTATATAAATACGTCAAAGGAACAAGCTTTTACGCTTTTTCGATTTAACATACACCAGCTATATGTATGTAACCTCCTCTGCATTTTGTCCTCTATATAACGTACACATTATATTTCGTGTTTCATTTGGACAGAGACGCAAAGAGTTCTTAATTGAAAACCTTTGAACAGCTCGAGTATATTATATTACTACTCTATATTACTACCGGCTGTAGAGAGTATCGGGAAGATTTACTAATTTATAAAATGGCGGTGTAATTGAATCTCCACATTAGAGCCCCCCCCCTCGCGTTTTAAATTAATTAGTAAATAGTACTTGGATACTATTATTTTTTTGCACATTTGTGTAGTGCAGGCGTCGTCTACATATGGGTCACGTATAATAGCCATTAGGTACAATCATGATGCATACAGAGTGGTCCACAAAACATAGTATTTTTTTAAAAGTAGGTACTTAAACACAAACATCATATTTTCACATACTTAGATTTCAATTAGATAGGAGGTAGACGGTACCTACATTTTGTGACGGTATACACACTATTTGTTTTTTCAAACAAGAACCGCCTTTTTAGCATGTAAATTGTCAGTCTGAAGATTTTTTAAAATGTTTATGCATCTAAATCGAAATTAAAAACTACGTAGTATAGTTTTTGAGTCGTTAAACTTTATGCGTGGCACGGTCCATACACTCAACTGCGGAAACGCTCTGAGTGTAGGTATCGGCCGGTGTTGCAAGCTCCCGGATGGGTGACCACCTGGGATTTTCAGCAACAAATCCTTGCCACACATATACAAATGTTTCCTCCCCCTACAAACAAAAAAACAGCTAATGGCCATAGTTTTCGGGTTAAGCTCAAAAAAAACTTAATGTACTAAAGAATGAGGAAAATAATAAATCCTCTACTTAAAAATTTTACATAAAAAGGGTCGTTCTCATTTACAAAATTGCAGTTTGTACCGCGACAGGCAAAATCCTTGAAATGCGTAAAATATTCCATATTTATGTCTTCGGAACAGCGTAGGTATTAATTTATTATCTAATACTTGCACAAGATTATAACTTTTAACTATAAGCAATGAACTCCCCGTTGTTGAAATCCATTTGCCATTTCTCAGTTTTCTGTTGTTTTGGATAGAATTTATTATGATTATTGTTTTGTTAAGCTCTGAAAAGACAGCATGTAAAATATACATTCATATCTTTGAGGATGTTGTATATACTTTTGCGAGGTATAAAAGTATTCAGATAACTTTGTTGTTAAATAGTTTGTAAGGACGTCAAAGAAAATGCTGTATTGTTGTTACGGGCAAAAAAAATATATTAACAATATTAATTATTCGTTTAATGGTATATTTAATTCTTACAAAGTTTTTTTTTCTAATAAATAATTGCCTTTAAAATCTGTTCAGTTGTGTATAGTCATTACACAATAGTAATACATATTAAATTACTTTTTTTCAAAGCTTTTTCGTGTAATTATCAATCCCACTTTTTTGTCTTCGTTTTAATGTATCTGTAGGTATATATATCTACTTAACATATTTTAACTAACGCTCCAACAAACCCAAGTGGGTGTTTGGCGAGTTTATTAAGATTTATTTTGTTTTTGTAATTCACACTAATGGAATTCTAAAATCTATCGTTTGTGCATTATACTTCAAAGGCGATTACGATAAAATAGAAAGTTATGTTAGGTACACATAAAGTGTTCAGTATATTGTGTGTACCTATGTATAATACTATAATGCATATATGTGTGCGCCAAATCCAACAAACGAATTAGGAAAAACGAATACAATGTTTAATACAATAATATGAAGAGGACACTAAATGTACAAGAAGAAATCGATCTGGAACAAATAGACCGACGACCGTAACCGTATTATGTAGTCATGGTTTTTCTCTTTTGGAACATTCTGAGGTATTGACTAAACGACCAATGGAAGTATTTGTATATACGATAGCCGCTATGTATAACTTAAAAGGATTGAGGGTTTACGAAAGATCGAAAAGATTGAAACGATTTGGTACCGCTATCAAAAAGTAAATCCGGCTTTCCGTTTTATATAATATACCTAATAATATTCATACAGCACTATGATAATATATTATAACATTATAAGGTAATGATATTATAAACGTATAGAATAATTATGTTTTTTCTACATCATAAATAATTCATATAATATCTAAGCAATGTATTTTGATAAGCAATTAGACACAGTTAAACTATAGTTGTTAAGAGTTCATTCTTGTTTTTTATTTATTTTTTTCGTTACGAATTTTTAACATCAAATTAATAAAAATTTACTTATACAATTACAATTGTAGATGAAAATACATAACGTATAATTACGATGTTTAACAATAACAACCAATTATTATTATTATAAACACAAAACACGCACTCATTACAATATATTTGAGAGGATGTCAGCGCACTCTCTATCTCTCTGACACTCAAGTGAAACATAGAACATTTGCTTAGCCCTAATATTAGAGTAAATTGACCTTTTGCAGTTAAACTTTAAGTTAAGAAGAATTATCTTTGTTTGTACCTACGTTGACATTTTTATAATATTTTAACTTTTGACTGCGATAATTTATGGACGTTTTTTAATTTTTATATTTTACATACCTATACCTACTTATACTCACAAGTTCCATAAAAATTTCAATATCGTAGAAATCTGACAAACTCAGATAATGTTCCTAACTTTAAATTGAATCGTTCTATTTAATATAAATCTCACAATGACGTAATACAAGATTGGTTCGACCGATGAACTAAAAAAAAAAATATTACTTTATTACATGTGAGTTAGAGATAGGAGAAAACAAATAGTGCTCTGACATCCTGTTGATAATTTTATACATAATAGCTTATAATGTTG